TTCTCAGCAACACAGTTGAGGAATTTAATCAATCAATCAATCAGAATGGACCTTGGAGGTCTTCTAGTCCAACCCCCTGCTAAAGTAGGAGAACCTATATCATTTCAGACAAGGTGCTGTCCAGTCTTTCCCCAAAAACCTCCAAACTTCTGGTGGCAATCTGTTCCACTGGTTAATTCTCCTCACTGTTGGGAAGTTTCTCCTTAATTCCGGGTTGCTTTTTTCTTTGGTTAATTTCCATCCACTGTTTCTTGCTTGAAGCTTCTTGTTTGAAGTTGAAGTCCACCATTTTCAAGTCACCAAGACTGAGAAATACTGGTATATGAAAGGGTGGGATTCAAATTTTTTAACAACCGGTTCTGTGGGTGTGGCTTAGGTAGTGGGCGTGGCTTGGTGGTCATGTGACTGGGTGGACATGGCTTGGTGGTCATGTTACTGGCTGGGCGTGGCCAACTCAATATCACTCACATCGAGGCACGCATCTCCTCGCCTGGCCTCTCGTGACTGTGGGGATGCTGCAACAGTCGTAAGTGTGAAACATGCTCATAAGTCACTTTTTTCAGTGCCATTGTAACTTTGAATGGTCACTCCACACAACCAAAGTACCAGCAAAGGAGGGGGAAAAAACTCCAGAGAAGTTCCTGAGACAGGAAGTTTAGTCTTGCTAAGAGTGTAATAAGGGTTAACGGAGAGGCAGTTTCTGTAAGCAACACCAGAATGTTTCCTTCCTGCCTTCCTTACAGGATTAGTTCAGTAATTTCTTCTAACAACCGGTTCTCCGAACTGCTTAGAATGTTAACAACTGGTTCTAGCGAATAGGTGCGAACTGGTAGAATCCCACCCCTGGGTATATGGTGTGTGTATATACTATAGATACACATGATATAGATAGAGTAATAGACATAGATATTTCCCTCCTATCTAGGTATAATTAGAATGAGTGGTGTGGTGACCTAGAGGTGGAGCTCTTGCCTCACAATCAGGAGGTTGTGAGTTTGATCCTAGATAGTGGCAGATATTTCTCTCTCTGGGCACAATGAGTAATTATGTGCTGTGAACTCTGTATTGGCGACAGGAAGGGCATCTGGCCATTCAGCTCCATTTAGTTGCCCTGACACCATCCCCATGTAAGGGATTAAAGGTGAAGGTTCCCCTCACACATACGTGCTAGTCGTTCCCAGTTCTAGGAGGCAGTGCTCATCTCTGTTACAAAGCCAAAGAGCCAGCGCTGTCCAAAGATGTCTCCGTGGTCATGTGGTCAGCAGGACTAAATGCCGAAGGCACGCGGAATACCTTCACACCAAAATGGTCCCTATTTTTCTACTTCCATTTTTTTACGTCCTTTTGAACTGCTAGGTTGGCAGAAGCTGGACCAAGTAGCGGGAGCTCCCTCCATGACGCACTGCTAGGGATTCGAACCTCTGAACTGCCGACCTTTCTGATCGACAAGCTCAGCGTCTTAGCCACTGAGCTAAGTAAGGGATTACGGGGGCCATAAAAAGACTACGTATGTATGTTTAGAATCTGAAAGCAAAATTTCTTGCAATTTTGTGACATTCCAAAAACTGACATTTGGGGGGGAAAAAGCCACTGAAAAGAATGAAAGTGTTTATATGGCAAGATGCTGGCCTGAAGATCCTTAAGTCTCTGTCTGGAAATGTTACATGTGAGCATGCATATAAGAGAAAAGTTTTACATATCCGTAGTTGGGCCTTATGTAAGTGTGTCTTTGTAAATTATTCAGCAGGCAACGGTTGGATTGAAGGTGAGTTGAACTGAACACAAACGGATCTGGCCTTCCCAATTAGATCCTGTCACTGTTCAAACAGGCTTAGGCTTTTGAAAAGCTAGGTTAATGCACTTATGAGCTTTGAAAAAGCATCAGGAATAAAAATACGGTAAACCTTAATATTCCACCCGCTAAAGACCGGGAAAGGCTTACCAGGAAAGAAGGAGGCCTCAAGTTATAAAAACAAAAAAAACAAACAAACACCACAGTGACAAACTGCTCAGGTCTTTCTATTTTACAAATCACAGCTCTGGCACAGTGAATTCTCCTCCTTCCACACATCATCATAATCTCCCACATGTAAATAGATAGATGCCTCTCAGCAAAGCTGTCACTTTAATTTTGCCATTTTTGACGCATTCTCTGCCTGGCTTCGTTTTTGTGGTTGACCGTCATCTAGCAATTTTTACTTTGGGCTGCACCACAAAAACGTGTCGTGAAGATTTTGCAGGTTGCAGCACAAAAGAGATTTCAAGATTTTTTTGTGTGTGTGTGTGGGTTGCACCACAAAAGCTTGGTGTTCCTAGACTTCACAAAATCCTGAAGCAGATTCCTTGTCCTGACAAAACCCCTTTTTATTTGGCTAATGTGAATTCCCATCATTCACATCCAAGAAGTCCTGGCAAACAATCTTTCAAGGGTGAATTGCAACCATAGACCTTATCAGGCTTGGAGAGTTGCCAGGCTGATAGCTTCCAAGTGCAATGCTGTACAAGGAGGCAAGGAGTCTCTATGAATCACGAACAAATCTTCACACTAATTAAACGAACTAATTGTCTCCCCAAAACACCATCCCCTTTCACTCCTATTTATTCCCTATGGGAGGGGCCACTGATCTGTGCCTTTACTCCTGAGTTGACCCTTGTTCCTTAACTGTTCCCTTCTCCGGACAGCTCTGTGCATGCGCACATCAGGAACAGGCTCCAGCTGTTTTTCTGCCCCACTGATCTCCGACTCTGAAGGCAGCTGATAACTGTCGGACGGCCTTGGTCCCATCTCTGCCTCCAACACAGAGCACTCATCAGAGCCTTCCCCATACTCCAGGACTGGCCCATATTCCTTCCCCAACCTTCTCACTGTCTGAATCTGCCGCCGCCTCTGCAACACTCGGCTCTCCAAATAGAAGACTTATCTGGATTGAATTGTTCTCCACCTTAAAATGCTTCTTAAAAAAATCACCACGTTCCATTCATCACTACTAAATCTGGGGAGTGGCTTGACTCAGGTTGATGGACAAAATTGTGAATGGTGAGAAAAGAGAAGAAGCTTCATTGGTCTACCAGTTGACTCTGAGATCCCTAGATGGACAGAGACCTCAGAAACCCTTGAACATGGGCACTGAACACCGTGGGCATTGACATAATCTCTACTAGTCAATTGCAAAAAGCAGCTTCACTTGGAACAGCTTACATCTTGCGATAAGACTTTTTAACACATCAAATAACACCACCTCCCTGTGCCAGGTCCTTGGGAAGGACTCAATAGGTGGACAGCAATGCCAAGTCCAGTTGGAACATCTGTCTGACTGTGTGACCAACCACCACCACCATCATAATAATCCCAAAACTGTTCCTTGATTATTATTATTATTATTTTTCCCTATGGCAAGTTGGAATGAATTTCCTTTCCTTTCCCTTTTTTGTTTTAAGCTTCCAAACTCACAGAGCTGATTTGGATATATCTGAGCAGATGGCAGCCTCAAACTTTTTTTTCCCTTTGAAGCTCCTGTTTTTCGCACCCTGCAATTCCGAGCCAAGGAATTGTCAGGTAATCAGCTCGGCGGGAGATTAACGCACAAATGAAGAAGAAATTAAAAAATAATGACAGCAAAATAAGGGGCTGGCTGGAGCTGCAGAGTTAGCAGAAGAAAAGAAGAGCAAATGTTCTTTTACCTTGTCTGATCCTGCCAGCATTTTATTTTTTATTTTTTCACACACACAAAAAAAAGAAACGAAAAAAAAGAAAAAAGAAAATTTTAAGCATCGGCTACTTTATTCACCTCGATGCTATTAGGAGATTGATCTTACAGGCTGTGCCAAACTCGGTGATATGCCTTGGCAGAGAACAGACATATGCACACCTAAGAAGGCAATTCAAAGTGTATTTTTAGGAAACATCCCGGTAATAGTTTCGGGTCTATTTATAATTTATTGGCCAAGCATCACCAAATCCTTTTAACGTTCCCCAGATGAAGGACTTATGATTAGCATCAGCTCTGCAGAACTGGCCTCACTTGCTTCTTTTGACTAGGGTTGAACCAAAAGTATTTGGAGTGCTCCATAAACATTTGTGCGGGTGTGTATCAAAGCTCTTCTCTTTCTGTCTGTGTTTTGTTTAATCCCAAGGATCATATTGCCCAGATATTTGACCATGTGGCTTTCACTCGTTCTCACTTTCAGGGTGTATCATGGTAAGGGCAAAACTGGTTAATGACCAGGTAACATGATGTTAGCTCAACTATTACGTGTGGCTTGGAAAAGTCAATTGGAAAGAGGTTCATCTTTACAAGAGAACTGAAGTGAAAAAAGATGAAGGGTTGGAGATGGATCAGTGAGAACCAGTTTTGAGTCTACTCTTAAGCCATGGAAGTTCATACATTTAACAGATTTAATGGAACATAATTGTTGGGTTCATATAATCATAGTATGCTCAGACTAATCACACTATGAATTAACATGAAGACACAATTCACACAATGGATAAAATCCATGGTTGGTCTTACAGCATGCCAAAATGCAAATACTGTGAGGCTCCCAAACCAAGAACCATGTGTTGAGGTTCTTCTAGGCAGTTTCCTTTATTGCTCCTCGCTGATAGACAGAATCTTGCCAAACTAAGGTCATAGTGACTGGATTAATGCTCAAGATTAGGGATCGGTTCATTAACACCATATTACTTGGCATTGCTATTTCGAAATATTAAAGCCACCTCTTGGTTGAATTCAATATGGTGTCACGATTAGAACGATGGACTTCAGCAGATCTCCAGTCTACTGAAATGTTGGTCTTGAGTGATCATCAGGCAATAAACCATTCGTTGACCTATGTTTACTAGGATGTTAGGAAGACATTGCTCTCCAAACATCTTGGAGGATAGGCATATTATTTTTAGGAAAAGTAATGAAGAAATTTCAAAGTTCCCATGAAAGCAATACAAGAGCACAAAAAATTTTTTGGGAATCTGGTAAAAATATCAGCTAAAGATCTCTTACCATTGCTAGTGGGACAATCCCCACTAGATCCTTTTGGCAAATGAAAATTTCAGAGAGGGCCATCTCTGTCATCTTCTTCTGAGGATATTCCACTTGCCAGGATATTGGCTGGGTTCCTGAAAGGCTGCTGAAGCTGGCAATTTCAAAATTCAGTCGCACAACTTCGCTGAACATGTTATTATTGTTGCTTCTAGATGAAAAGAAACAGAGAAAAGGCATTAGACTAGGCAAGATGGCAAAGAATGGTTTAAAAAAAAAGATCTAGACAACCCAGCAAAACAACAACACATCATGGACAATTGGAAAAGAAAGAACAGGGCGATTAAAAATCAAAAATAACGTTTGTCTTTAAGCAAATCAAATGGCATCATTTCTAAGCAACTATCAATAAATATCGGGAGTATATAGAGAAAGTCTAAGTGTTGGGATTTTTAGGTAAAATGTATTAGAGAAAGTGGCTAGGTCAGTTAAGGAGAAAGCAAAATTATCTGTTTAAATCTGTTACAGTGAGTTGGAGAAACTGTATACCTCTTCTAACAATTGGCTTGAGGGGGGAAAAATAATCACCATTAAGCAATCAACTGTCACCTCTCCCCCATGCATCTGAGCTGCAACCTACCTGGAATCATCCATCAAATCAATTTAACTGAAGGTCAACTTGAAAGATGCTACATCTTTACCCGTTTCCGTTTGCAAAATTTCAACTCAGTGGATGTGTCTAACCTGTCCCTGGCTAGATTTTGAAGCTGTTTGTCTTGTTTGTTTTTAACTAGGACAGAACACTTAACTGCATTGTTCTTACTCTGAATGGACTTCACAATATTGTGCAATCATGTGATATCATCACGGAACCAAGTTGGGATGAGGACAATGCATCTTCATCGCATTTTAAGACCATCCATAAAATAGGTGAGGAGAAAGGAGAAGGAGAAAGGAGAAGGCAAGTGAGATGAAGGGGGTCATTGTAAGTCCAGAATGTTCCCACAATGTCTGAAAAATCCATCATTCAATTCAGATAATTTCCAAGACTCTCCACTAAGGATCCAATCTGGGTTGGTCACTGGCACCAGAGGAGCTTTTGGACCTCTATCCTCAGGAAATTTCTCTCTCACCAGAACGTGTCCCAGAAATTCTTTTTTTCAGGAGGCAACTGGACTTTCTTGTTTTTTGCAGACTACAGGAACCAGGAGTACTACTCGGGTGAGCCTAAGGACACAGATGAACCTCCAAGTGCCTTGACACCCCTCTAAAAAGATGCAAATGACCAGCTTGTCTGCAAGGAATATCAATCCTTCCATTCCTCACCATCCTGTCAGAGCTGAAGAAGCTTCTTGGAATGAGAAGCGAAACGTCTTCAAAAGAAGAAAACAAGAAAGCCCCATTGTCTCCTGAAAAAAACACCATGACCTGCGTGAATAAGAATCTCTACAGACGTTTAGCTATACTCCTTTGAATGGAGTGGGAGTAGGAATGGATTTCCAGAGGAAAAAGAATTGCAGACTACAGGAACCAGGAGTACCACTCAGGTGACTTTGAGGACACAGATAAATGTTTCAAGAACCCTCTAAAAAGATGCAAATGACCAGCTGTTTGCAAGGAGTATATATCCTTCCATTCCCCACTGTTTTGTCAGAGGTGAAGAAGCTTCTTGGATGAGAAGCGAAACATCTTCAAAAGAAAAAAAAACAAGAAAGCCCCATTGTCTCCTGAAAAAAGCACCCCAAAAGTATCAAAAATTCTCTCTGAGTGGATGGGATACCAGTCATAAAAATATCTAGGTCTCCCCACTTCTAATTCAAACCACCCCTCTTGTCACCATCAGTCGGCTAAATATTAATTTCTTCTCAATGCCGCTTACACAGAAGAGCTCAAAAAGCTGCATAAAAATGGTGGCCCCGGACAATTTTGTTCTCCTTTCTGCTGAAAAGGAAAGATAGCATCAATCCCTTCCACCTTTTGGCTTCAAGCCTTTGACAGTTTCCTCTTGCTCTCTTCAAATTTCCTTAAATCTGTTGGCCCCAAACTTTTACAAAAGGAACTCAGTGGTGGGTTTTTTTTTTTTTTAAAGATGGAAGCTAACCTAACTCCGGTGCCATCTCTTTCTTCCTTTGAGAAGCCGTTTTGCTTTTTAGTATTCACCTGATGTGCCATTCTCGGGCTGAGAATGCAGAAAACAAAAGAGTCAGAGAAAAAGCATCACTTTAAGGGCTTTAAAGTTGCAGAAAGTGGATACAATTAAGAAAGACAGCCTCTTTAGGAAGGTGCGGGGAAGGAGATATGCTTCTTTAAAAATAGCTGCTATTTTTACATCTCTCCCTTTTCTCGGTGTCAATAGGAAACCTGCCAACGAAAAACAAATTATAAGTCTAATGAAGCCGAATTTTCCACCCACAGGCTTATGCCCTAAGCTAGATAACTGTTTCAGGTCAAGAAATCCTTTAGAAGGTTGTGATGGATGAATTCACAAAAGACTTCTGGGAAGACAACGAAGCTTTCCCCCAGTTGGATAATGTAGACTTTCCCAGTTGGGATTCTTTAGGTCTCAAGAGCAAGAAGGGCCAACATCTGCAAAGCCATGGGTGCAGCATTGCAACAGAAGCCCCGGTCCTTTTGTACATGCTGTGACATTGCGTGCATGAACGGAAAAGACAGGGGGTCCAATTACCTACCATATTTTCTATTTGTAGATGAGCAAAAGCTGGTTCAGTACCTTGGAGACCTCCAAACAGAAGCTGGTCAAATCCTCTGTTTCAGCTCTTGATATTTTCATAGAATCATAGAAACCCAGGGCTAGAATGGACCTTGCAGGTCTTCTATTTAGGCTCTTGATATTTTCATAGAATCATAGAACCCTAGAGCTGGAATAGACCTTGGAGGTCTTCTAGTCCTCTATTTGGGCTCTTGATATTTTCATGGAATCATAGAAACCTACAGCTAGAATGGACGTTGGAGGTCTTCTAGTCCTTTATTTAGGCTCTTGATATTTTCATAGAGTCATAGAAACCCAGGGCTGGAATGGACCTTGGAGGTCTTCTAGTCCTCTATTTAGGCTCTTGATATTTTCATGGAATCATAGAAACCCAGGGCTAGAATGGACCTTGGAGGTCTTCTAGTCCTCTATTTAGGCTCTTGATATTTTCATGGAATCATAGAAACCCAGGGCTAGAATGGACCTTGGAGGTCTTCTAGTCTTCTATTTAGGCTCTTGATATTTTCATAGAATCATATGGAAGGGAAGGAAACTTGGAGACTTGTATAGATTTATTTCAAGCTATTTAATTCTCATCAGCTAGCCATCCCCTTCTGGGATTTGAACCTGGGCTGCTTACATATTAGGGAGACGTCTTAACCTCTAAGCCATGGGCTCTCCTCGCTTTTTTGGCTATGCCAGGGGGGAGATTCAGTGTTTTGTCCAGTGAGATTGGTCTATCAGGGCAACCTGGTCTACCCAATTATGGGATGGAGCATAAGTGCTTCCACTTTCACCTTTCAGTCCCAATCCAGGAGCCTTCGCAGGCCATCGCATTTGGGACAAACAATTTTTGTGTTGAATTTATTTGAATTTAGTCCACCCAAATATGGCATGAAGCATACTGCTTCTGCAAGGAGATCCTGTGGTGTAGAGATTAATACATCTACCTTATATGCAAGTAGCCCGGGTTCAAATCCCACAAAAAGTATACCTAGCTGATGAGAGCTAAATGGCTTGAAATAGATCTATACAAGTCTCCCTTTATTTCTGTGTTGGTAAATATCAATTCGACACAATTCTACTGGTAGTCTTGGACTTACAATCGCAATTGGGAGCTGAGTCACTACTGATTTTACCACCCTTTTTGTAATGCTTGTTAAGTCAATCCAATTCCTCCAATGACTTTTGGTTCTTGGAAGCCGGTTGGGTCTGGACACTAGATTGTGTGATGAATGGACGGATTGTGCATATCTTTAGGTTAATGAAGGAAAGCCTCAGGGGAGACATGATAGCCATCTTCCAATACTTGAAGGGCTGTCACAGAGAAGAGCTATTCTCCAAATCCCTAGAAGAAGCAATGGATGGAAGCTAATCAGAGAGAGATCCAACCTAAAAGTTTCCCATCAGGGAGAACATGGTGGAAGGGCTTGCTTCCAGAAGCTGTGGGTGCTTTATTGTTGGATGTTTTCAAGAAAAGATTGGCCAACCATTTGGGATGGAATAAGGACTCCTGCCGTGGGCAGGGGGTTGGACTTGAAGACCAGCCCAGCCCAGTCAACTCAACACAAAGTTCCTTTGCAATCATACACGGTGATTTAATCCACAACCTGAAGCAGAAGATGGGAAAATGCCCATCTTCTTATTGGTTAAGGAGAGAACACTACCTCGCTCAAGAAATGCATTGAAAGGCGAAGCATTTTAGGAAGAAAGAATTTCGGTGTGCATGTGTGTGTATTTGCCAACACAGCGTTTTTTTTCTTCTCCTTCCCAAAGCAATTTCCGTATTCTTTTTATTTATCCACAGAAACGCTTCTCCAAACTGAAGGCTCTAATTCAGCTCTAATATACAACAGCAGCATGGCCGGTGCAACTATTTTCAGCTTTATCAATCCCAAACTCAAGAATTCCAGTCCGAATAATAAAAGATAAAATATTCTCCAAGCTACTAGATAGAATATATAGAATAACAAGAGTTGGAAGGGATCTGAGAGGTCTTCTAGTCCAACCCGCTGCTTAGGCAGGAAACCCTACACCACTTCAGACAAATGGCTGTCTAATCACTTCTTAAAGACTTCCAGTGTTGGAGCATTCACAACTTCTGAAGGCAAGTTGTTCCACAGATGAATTGTTCTAGCTATCAGGAAATTGCTCCTTAGTTCTAAGTTGCTTCTCTCCTGGATTAGTTTCTACCCATTTCTGCTGTTAAGTGAGACATTGGTTAAGTGAGTTTTGCCTCATTTTACGACCTTTCCTACCACAATTGTTACATGAACCACTGCAGTTGATAAATGATAAATTAAGACGGTGGTGAATCTGGCTCTGTCATTGACTTTGCTTGCCAGAAGGTCACAAAAGGGGGTCACGTGACCCCGGACATTGCAAACATCATAAATATGAACCCGTGGCCAAGGGTCTGAATTTTGATCACATGATCGTGAGGTTGCTGCAAAGGTTGTAAGTCTGAAAAATGGTCATAAATCTCTTCAGGTTTGGCTGAT